GGTGCATTTCGGTCATGATCTGCTTTGAATGTATATGTCACTCAAATATGAATGGAACGGGGATGTGTCATTGACAATGACTTGTTATACAATAGTTTAATTCTCCCGCACCTAACATATTGTATTGAAATATGGGGACATACTTACCCCACTTTACTTGAACCAATTCTACATTTACAAAAAAAGCTTGTACGACTTATTACCTTCTCTGATTTATATACGCACTCTGCACCTCTCTTTCAACAGCTTGACATCCTTGACATTAACAAACTCTGCAAACTTCACACTTGTTTGTTCATATTTGACCTTAAGAATAATCGCTTTGCCCATGATATCAGTTATTATATTAATCAGCATTCCCATCTTTACCCAACAACAGCCATTTCCAATGGAAACTTGTCAGTCCCGAAAATGAATTTATCAGTTTCCCAACATAACTTCACATATTCAGCGGTCAAATATTGGAATTCCCTTACCGGTACTGTCCAGATAAAAGGTTTACGCAATAGAAACCAATTTAAAACAGCACTGAAAAAAATGCTTATATCACAGTGAGCATCCTGAGTCGTCCAATTGATGCATACTATTTACTTTTATTTTGTTTTAACTTAGATATTTAATTTACTCGTGTATTTTTCTGATTAGGTACTTACTCATTTATGTTACCATACTACTTTCTTTTTATACTAGTTATTTATTTTAAGTGATAGGGCCATGAACTAGACTAGTTCTGCTGAACTATTTTCATGGTCCACACCAGAATTATTCAAATTGTGTACAAAATACCTTATATAATTTTCTTCTTTATATATCTCAATCATTGTATACATAATTTTTCTGGTGAAATAAATCAATCAAATCAAATGATAAAGAATTTTGAGGGAAGTTGCAAGTGACCTTGTTTATGCCCGCTGTAATGTTCTCTTATTTTTTCCATATGTTTATGTACAAAACAGACCAGCATCTGAAACTACTTTGTCATGCCCCTCAGCTTGGCTTCTGGTAGACCAGTCATTATTCTGCCCATCCAGGCACTATAATTTGTTTGCCCAGAAGTGATATGAATCAAAATTGGGACAAAGACTAGACATTGAACTTGAGATACACACAATATAACAGCACTGCTAAAAACAGGTCATCACACACTCCATTTCATATAGATATGAATGTTTTCATATGAAATATTTATAAACGTCTTGTACATTACAAATGATGATTGAAAACTTAAATTAAATTAAAAATCGCCTGTACTTGGCAATAAATCGGCCAAGGAAACACAGGGACTCATGGGTAATGAGAATCACCAAATGGCTTCTATAGTCCATTAAAGCATTTTCTTTGGTCTTTTATAAATTTCAATAAAAAACATTCATACCAATATGAGACTGAGTGTTCAATATAGAACACATTTATAAAAACAGGTCAGAAACAAGTCATTACAGACAGGAAATATTGATTGTGAATTATTATTTCAGAGTGCACCTAGATTATCTGGGCCATCAGCTGTAGCTGTGTACGACTATGACTCAGTGAACCCAGATGACTTGAATTTCAATAATGGCGATGTCATTAAACTGTTACAAAGGATAGGGGATGACTGGTATAAAGGCGAGTGCAATGGAGAAATAGGAATGTTTCCAAAGAACTTTGTAGAAGTAGTAGAAGATTTGCCTGAATATGTTGAAGAAACGCAAGTTGATTGGGGAAGGTACATTTCTTCAAAATATTATGCTTTTATAAGTTTTGTCACTTTTAAAAATCCTGTGTGGATACATGTGTGTGAAGGAAAATTTCAAATATGTTGGTAGAAAGATGTACCATTTACATACTGCTTTTGGTTGGTGATCCAATTCAATATGGCTGACAAACGGCCATTAATTCAGTTATATTTGTTTATTCGTGTTCATTCTCTGAGATGCATCTGAAACTTGCCAAATATAGCAGATATAATTTATTGTATGGAGCTATAGATGGTGATTTGTTAATCAAATAAAATTTTATATCTTTGGAAACCTAGATTTATCTATAATTGTCATTATTTTAATTTCTCAGCGGCCCACGGTGTAGAGCAAGGTTTGATTACGAAGGTGAAGAAGAAAACGATTTGGAATTTGATGAAGGAGAAATTATAAAGTTGATCTCGTATGTAGATGAGGAATGGTTGAAGGGAGAAGTGAATGGAAAAATTGGTATATTCCCCATAGAATTTGTAGAAATCATAGAAGACCTGCCACCATCTAAGGCTGGTGTACTGAGCCAGGCAACTGGTATCACAGTGACACCGCCAACGCCAACAAATCAAGGTTATAATTTAGAATTATCATGATCTGAAAGTTTTTGAACTTACATTACAGTCTGTTACATATGCACAAACACGAACCCCATGATGGATATTTTGATGTCAAAAACAAAATGTTTGAAGAAAACATAATGATTATTGTCAAAGGAAAGATTTTCGAAATAATACTGAAACCACAATAAGATCAAAAAATAGTTGCAGACTCATCGTAAAAGCAAACGCTTTTTGATTTCATCTGAGTTTACTTGTTGTCCAGCATGAATGAGAGTCCGTTGGCCTACCTTATTCAGAGACTGTAGTTATAGATGCCATTATGGACGCTGTAACTTTAATGCTATCCCAACAACTAAAATGGTGCATTGTGGGTAGACTTGAGGTACATGTTAGAAACATGGCTGTTGCAATGTTTGTATTGGGTAGCACAGAAAATTGTAGATGTAGTAGTTTAGTTTTTAGCTATCAACTTTACCATACAATTACAACCATGTTTATTGATTTTCTTATTTATCTACTGTATTTCATCAATATGCCTCAATTTGTTGTTCTAAAATCAAGATTTCTTGTGATCATTCTTATGTTATGTTGAAAAATTTATTGTTTTATAAAACGTGTAAAAATGGATCAAACTATCCTGTTGCTAAGTTTTGTGTTGCCGGTTGTTGTTAAGTTGTGTCTATTTGTTAAATAATGATTCGTTACACATGTTTTTCTTTTTCCCAGATAATTATGTCTCTGCTTTGTATGATTTTGAGGGCAGTGATAACACAGAATTGAGTTTTAAGGTGAATATAATGATCTCATCTGGTGTTATTTTCTCCAGTGTTTGTTGAACCTTTTTGAGTATTTCTCGCAGAAAAAAAACGTGTGCACACACCTAATCCTCAGTTTAATGTGTCAAAAAATATCACTACAGAGCGTGAACCATTGTAGTAAAGACTGTTGACAATGTTATTTCAAAATATTTCTATATCATCATCTACTTTACAGGCTGGTGATAGAATCCAAGTTGTTAGTCAAGTAAATGCTGACTGGTTGATTGGTAAAATCTTCGGTAGCAGTGGTCGATTTCCGTCAGCATTTGTTGATCAGATACCTCCCAATCTTCCCGTTGAAGATAAATCTTCATCTGTAAGTGATTTCTTTGATTGTAAAATTGATTGTGTAATATTCTGTCTGATCAATGCATGTATAAGATATACTCACGTTGTTGTTTAATTAAACACACTCGCCTAATTAATTAATTGAAAAAAATAGAGCGATAATATGGTTTTATTGTTTTACCACACATGAGAAGTTTTTGGCAGCAATCCCCATCATTTCTTACAGGGTGCCAGTGATGCCCATTGCATTGCAAAATATGATTACGATGTGACGGCACCGACAGATTTAAGTTTTAAAGAAGGAGACAAGATTGTGATCCTTGAGAATGTCAATGATGAGTGGCTCCGAGGCAAATGTAAAGGAGAGGAAGGAATGTTTCCAAAAGTGTTTGTAGATGTAATTACAGAGTTACCTCCAGGTAAGAAATGTACAGTTTTATTTTGATCAAATCTAAAATAAAATAAAAGATTTCTGATTTGTTATGATACCAATAACTGAATTTAATTTGTTCTTTCTGGCCTTTGTCTGGTCAATATTTTTCAGAATCAAAGGCAGGAGGCAAAAAGAAATTAGGTGGAGCATATGATGAGCTGATACCCAAAGCTAAGGCGTTGTATGATTTCAGCGGACAGTCTGATAGTGAGCTAACGTTTAAGGTAAATGTGACAATGTGTTTATTCTGTTACACAAGTTAGGTTTGTGTTCATGGGAGCAAATGGTGATGTGACTCTAGATTATTGTTGGCAAAATATGATTCTGTGGTTTCCGAGTTACTTCTTGTACTATGACATGTAAAATATATTTTGCAATATAATTATATATTTAGTATTTTAAATGTGGTGAATCTTTTTTTTATGAAAATTAATACTAATTAATAATGTATTTATTTTAATAGGAAATTGCCGTACCCTGTACATAAGTGTCCTCGAAAAAATAAACTTCACCTTTAATTTTCAGAATAGAGGGCATACTTCTATTTAAAATCAATCTGATAATACATTCACATTTTTGTTCATCGTTGTCGTCGTTGCTGTTAATTATTGTTATTGTGTGCATAATAACTTTACTAATTCTATTCCATACTTTATCAAACTTGGTCACCTTATTCATCAGTGTAAAGTCTTCCCTTAGTATGACAGATGTCCTATATGAAAATATCATGCAAAAATTAACAAAATCTGATAAAATATTTTGACTGTTTCTACTTGACGGATCACTGATGATAAGGTCACTTATCTTGCATGTTTTATGAATCTATTCACGTCTAAATGCAGCACTTTTTTTCTGAGATGAGGCATTTGTTCTATACTAAAATATCTGAATTACTTTGAATAAAGCTGGAAATTATGTCCCTTAAAATAATAAAACAAATTAGGCACCAATGTTTTTGTAACATATTTACATCAATCAAGGACATTCAATAGACTGCTTTCCCACTGTTGTTTCAATCCCAAAACTTATTTGTATTCAAAATTAATTATGACAATGCATATTCATATTGAAACAAGCTATGATAAAGGGAATAATATTATATAACAAAGGGCAAGGCCACCATAGTTCAACTATGTTTTGATCCCAATTGTTATTTTCATTTGATCCCCTAGGCTGGTGATATTATTTATCTTCTGAATAATGTTACTGAAGAATGGTGCAATGGAGAGATAGACGGCAACGTTGGGCAATTCCCGTTGTCCTTTGTTGAGATTCTTATCCCTTTGCCTTGAGATTGAACACTTAGAAGTGATATCAAGTGCAATACAAGTGGTATAATGCAGTGTATTCAGAATATAAGATGATTATTTGAGAGTATAATACAAATATGCACTTTAGTGTATAATGGATCTTTAAAGAAATAATGCTAATTTACATGTTTATTAATTGGCTATTACTCATATACATTTTTTTCGGGCGACAATTGTTCATGAATTAACAGTTAACTAATAGGGTGTCCAATTAAAAAACATGCTTTATTTTCTGGAGTAACAAATTATCAATTTTGTAACGGTGAAAATGACATTGTTATTTTTGAAGCACGTACACACCACGTTGTGTTCAATGTTGTTTCCATGACAATTATACAATTATGTGTAAAATACATTGTTTACATGGAATCTCAACGTAAGAGAGTTGAAGTATCTTTTTGAAAATTTCATTCATTCAAACAACTTATCAAATCTGTTAAATTGTTAGTAGTGATGGTTCACTGTACTTTACATAAGTTCTCTTGCACGCACTGAATTATTAATATGCAAATAATATTCATATTGTTTAGACCAGGTCAGTATAATCACTTGGTATCATCATGGATGTAAAGACAGATCTGTCTTTTACCTCCATGGTATCATTAATTTCATTCGATGGTGGACACTTTGTCACACATTTCAAACCAGACAAAGCTTGGCCCAAAAAACGTATTTACAAGCTAGTTTTTTTTCTCCCAACATACAAACTATTACATAAATCTTAATAAGTAACTAACTGCAATGAAGATGTGTTCATTGTATTTGCAATTCTGAACATTCTCTCCAGTGATGACTATCGAATCCAATAATTGATTGGATTTCATGGCATTTATCATGTGCTTTATCTGTACATATAAGCATTAACACACAATTTGGTTATACTAGTTGTTTCAACTTAAAATCGCAATTTCTCTGGCTGCTATGTGGTAAACTATGCATTTTAAATTCCTTCAGTTTGTTGTACGGCATTTGTGAAATTCAATAAAACACATCATCATTTTTACAAAATTTTACATTATCTTCTTTTTTGTAGCAGAGAAAAAATGTTAACGATTCGGATAATTTTTTGTTACTTGCTGCTGTTGCATTGTTATTAGATTATTGTATGACAAGTAGCAACAAATGAATGGTGTGATTCCTTTATTGTAAATATCATATTTGTTGATTAACTGTTATTATTAATAGTAAAAATTATGTATATAATAATTTCTACATCATAAATGTGTTCAGTTGTATGTCATTACCGGTAGACCCAATGGATCTGAATTGTAACGAAATGTGGGTGATGATAGTACGTTTGATATGGTTGCAAATATTGATGTACACTTATTTGTCAAATTTTCTGCAAAATGTTGCCCAAAATTTCACTAAATGTCATGAAAACGCAAGGAAAAATAAATGAAACGATTAATTGTGTAACACACTGCCACTGGTGAGTTGTTGCACAGAACTGCTCTACATGGCATATATCATCAATGTAATTCAATATAATTCAATACTAGCTGCTTTTGCCTGTCCAAATTTTTTCTGTATATTTTTGAAGAGCAGCCAACAGTACTGAACTGCAATGCTAGATGATTTATTGGTACTATTAGGGTGACTTTTACCTGGACACTTTATTAACAGTATTGATTTCCGACTTCGGAACTGATCACTGACCATATATTGGCACAACCATAAAACTTGTTTTCTAGTATCTAGATTATAATTACTTTTAGAATGTAAACAGATATTTTTTTAATATATTTCAAAAAGTGGAAGTACATACATTTAAAGCAGGTCTTTATATATTTCACTTCAGCTCACATTTATATTCTGAGTTATTTTTTGTTGCAAATGTTGAATAATAATGATGTAGATTTGCTAGAGTGTAGCGACAACTCCATACATGTATTAGTGAATTATAATTTTTGTTAACGACAAGCTGCTTTTGTTTTTTCATGTGGTGTAATGATATTGTTATTATAAAGTCGCGTTCTCAAGAAAACAGATAAAAACTTCTTTTTTAGTTATTGTTTGCAAGTTGCATTCTCACTTTGTAGATTTTATGAAACATCTTTCCCAGGACAAGCTAAAAAAGATGCAAGAATTATATTGTTTTTAGCGAAAGTAGATACTTTTCACACATTTTATTTAGAGGGAAGGGTAAGCTTTTCTCCCTTAGACAAACGTACCAATAATGTAACTGACATACCAGAGTATTTATTGTTTGCAACTTTATGCAGTTTATGCCCATCCAAATTCCCAACATTTTTTTGGTGTCTATATTAATCAGGGGATGATACCTTACAGATTTACATAGTGGGAATGCAACTTATTTTTGCCATCTATTCAGCTGATAACATCACAATCCTTTTATCATAGAGGGAGTGTGATAACATCCAGAATGTGTGGGGATGGCATTGGGAGGGATTTTGTGTAATGTATTTGCTGCCACATTTAACTCCCAACAAAATTGAAATTTTAATTTATATGGGAGGTTGATCGTCACCTTTATATTTGTATAGCAAGTAAGAAACAATTCTTAGTAGAAGGCTTTAACGAATATTATCGTAGCAAAGAAATTCATTTGTTGTGGCATTTGAGCTCATCTGGTTTGATTTTTTGTTGTTGCAAATTTTGTGTAGTGTACAGATTTGATATCCATTACATCCATATTGGTTTAGCTAGGGTGGTGTCACACTTCGTGCCACAAAATGCTCACAGAATATGACATATTCTATTTCTTTGTTTACTGTGATGTCACTGTGTGAGCTTACTACTGCTCTAAATTTATAAATGTTGAGGTTATAACAATTTTAAAACATACACAGGTTTGTACTTTCTATCGTATCAGATGAGCAAATTGAAAAGTAGTGCATTATGTTTCACAATGATAATGTTGATATTTTTTTGCAGACTAATTATCACCAAATTAATCTTTATTTTGATGCATTATGTAACACTTCATGTGATTTATCTCATTTTCTAAAATTACTATAAAAAGTAATGCTATATTTCATATTTAAGATGTTTGCAGGTAGTGTATCATTTCACCAAATCATATTTGTAATTATAAGGAATCAAAGGTAGACAGGGGCATGCAACTTTGGTATGCATGTACATATATGGTGATATGCAATGAACATCTCAATCTGTGTTTTTCATGATTGTTCTGATCGCCTCAGTAGCTATGAGTCAGGTTGCTGGGTATTCTCGGGAGCGAACCTCCAGGCATTTTCACCACCTGGAAACCACAGCCTATGAAAACAATGTTCAAAAACTTTCAAAAAACCGTATTTTGGGCTAGTTGTTGAAACTCTCCCGAACATTGTAACAAGATTACTCCTACTTGTGCAACATATAAAAATGTGGTTGTTTGGTACTGTCTCATAGTTGAGATTGTGCTGATTTCTTGACTTTAGCTGTTTTCACCTGCTCTCCAACCGGCGTTCCACACCAGCTTGCACAGAGCCCATAGAAATATCTTAGCAACATAGAACATTCTGTGACGTAGCTCCGCTGCTGCGAATATATTCTATTCAGAAAAGGAACCTGAGACAAATTTATTTTTTTGACACACTCATCATTATAAGTATTTCTAGACATGTGATCATTTGTGAGATGTATATTTCATACCGCAATATATAAATCTCTTTGATACTGTATCAATTAGGTCTCGAATCTGGAACAAGAATTTTAATTGTTTCTCTGTTAGTGTTATGCATTAAAATAGTCACCATTTTGTTCCAAAACTGGGTCAAATGTTGACATTTGGGGAGGCTGTAGTCGGAAATCAAGCCTTGTGAACTCTTACTGTTTCCAGAAACATATTGAAATGTTTTGACAAAACAAATTTCACTTTTTTCCACTCTACCTGTAACCTTAGATTCTTACAAAAGTGCCTTACTCTGTATATTCAGATTTAGAAAATACATATTATTCTATATATATATATAATCAAGTAGTTCCAGGGTTACAGAAGTGGATATAAATCATCAAGAATATGAGTTATTTAATCTCAAAAACAACTCACAACTAAGTGAGTTAAATACGTTACATTTCATTTTATTTTGTTCCCTGATCGCTTGTGGTGCTTTAGACAAAATTGATTACCCCCCCCCCCAAATAAAAAAATTGATTTTTTTTTTTTTTTCTTTAACATCTAGTTAAACAAAACATTTTTTTCAAACTACCAATCAAATCTTTAATTATAGTGTTCTTTTGCAAAATGTCACAAACAGTTTCTGTATTATTTGAACCTGAAAAGCTAATTTTAAATCTATCTAAATAGAATTTTAAACAAAATGTAATTCTTTAATCTCACTACCCTCTGTCTTGAGGGTAGACAAGGCAAATCAGTGAAAACTCAAATTTAAAAAGTAATATAATAAAAGTAATAGTGATTCCTTCATAGCATGAAACCTTACTTTGGTGGCCATTTTGAATTGTAAAGTACATGTACTGTAAAAGGGTTAATTATTCACTTTAGTTTTGATTATTTCGCTGACCAGAAAATGCGCTAAATTAAAACCCAGTGAATATGTATATATGAACACATTATCTAAATGATAAAACCGTGAATTTAAACCCACTGCATATGCCTGAAATGGTAAATCAGTGAAATTTAAACCCAGTTAAAAATTAGTTATTTTACAGTACTAGTAGTCAATATACATACATAGGTTTATAAATTAAAGGGCGACAGTCGTCGCGTCGTGTTCGATATGGGACTCGTAGCGACGTATACAACGCGTGTAAAATACATTGTTTATTTACATGAAATTCGAACACATGCTGCGCGACGACCACCGCGCTTTAATAACTAGTTTTCAAGTACATCATTTTTTTTTCTGCCATTCAAATAGCTAGTCAAAAAAATTTAGCAAAATTTCAAAAAGTGTGCTAATTGTGTCTAATCCTTAATATCAAATACTATATGGTTAATACTATAGATGTTTTTTGCAACTTTTATAAAGTCTATTATATGGTTAATACTATAGATGTTTTTTGCAACTTTTATAAAGTCTATCTTGCTTTGAATATATAATGATGTGAATTCTCAAAATGCAGAAAAAGAATAAAAATACCATTCTTGCAGATTATGGTGTCATATTGTATTATATACTAAAAAGCTAGTATACTCTGAAATAATGTCAAACTGGTGAGAAATCGTTCACGGCAATATCGCCAGGCATGAAGTGATTTCTAAATTTAAACAAGTGTAAAACTGCAGGCGTATTTAGAGGGCGCCAATGGCCTTGTGTTTTTACCTATGTGTATTCAGAGGATGTTGTAAATGGCGTCGAACTGAAATGAACACTGTCTCCAAGAATACATGAAATGAACTACCGGGTACCTCTGCTGTGCTTATTAAACCAGTAGTCAGACCAATTGGTGTTGCTTTGGAGTGAGGTAAGTTTCGATGACGTCATAATAGGTTACTAGGTGCATACAGAGTAATTGCCGACGTTAAATAAATATCGTGCTTTTTGTTTGTAAATGGGATCGACATGCTTACTAGTAAAGTGCGGTGGTCGTCGCACAGTGCATGTTCGAATTTCATGTAAATAAACAATGTATTTTACACGCGTAACCGTTGTATATACGTCGCTATGAGTCCCATATCGAACAGGACGCGGCAAGACGACTACCGTCCTTTAA